TTCTTTGTTCTGACATTGTTTTGTATATAATTTAATATTTTATTAAATATGCATTTAATAATATGTTTTGTTACGCTTATCATTTCTCTTTATATTACTAACGATTTGTAATATAAATTTTTATTATAGTTTTTCAATTATATTTAAAATATTAATTTTTTTTATATATATATATTAATTTGATTGATTTTTCTTTAACGTAGCTTTAAAGTATTTACGACATACATTTATCTATATAGTAAAAATTCTAAAGAAACATATAGTAAATAAATATTTTATATTTTAAGGTAGATAAGCTCATGTAAGCGAGGGCTTCGAAGTGGAAGGGAAAGTGTATAAGAGGATTGGCTAAAATTTCCGAATCATTTTTCTAGTATCAAAATCGAAATAAGTGACGACAAAGATTTTGACCTTCCACGATTCAAGCACTGATATTGCTTTAAATTTTTTTTACTCTATTATACATTGAAAAAAAAAATATATATATATTATAGATTACTATATAATGTAATTTTATATAATTTTATACAGAATATAAGTATAAGATTAAGATCGAGATAAGTGCTTTAGAAGTAACATTATGTACTTGAAATAATATGACTGTTTTAATTTTCATTTTAATATTAATAAATTGTGAGATGCAGCTTTCTATTTTCGTGGTAAATTTAAAACTTTTAGATGCAGAGATATGAAAATATTTAAAATTATACTATTTAGAATGTGTATAAATTTCAAATTTAAAACTGTTCGGAGATAAATGTATGCAGTTTCCCGTAAAATGAATTTAAAAACGTCTTCACATTCTCTGCAAAAATGTAAAACTGTGCGAAAATAGAATATCATTCTATCATCTTGAAAATAGACATAAAATATGAAACAAAACAAAACCATCAAACAAGATATATATGAAGAATGTCAATACAAACATATACCTGCTTGTAGAATCCCTTTGGGGGTGGTAAATAGCACTTGATCGTCGTGGTTGAAGAGTGGCTCTGAGTTGTAGACCCGGTCGTTTTTGGAACTTTTTCAAGGTTTCTCCATCTTGACCCAGGTTGATTTAAATTTAACACGCACCCATCCGTACTCCCACTGCATAATCCCTCATCCTAACTCAACCTTTACCCATACACATTCCAACCCATGTGTTCGTCGTGTGATTTTTATCAAGTTATCTGCTTTCCAGATTTCTGTGGACTACCACAACAACAACATCTAAGAGGATCACGTTTATTAAAAACCACGGATCGTTTAAGACAATTGCGGATAGCATAATATTAGAGTTATTATTATTATTTTTTGAAAAGGGGTAGTCACTGTGACCTTAGTTGGATTAGAGTGTTTCTCCAAGTCCGATTTCTTTAATGAAAGACAGTACATAGAATCTATCTTTCTTAGTCTTGAATTCTTATGATCCATGAAATATCCTCCTAGATGTTAATAATAAAATTTGGGTTGAGCTGCATAGAAATCTTTACGTTATAATATCTATTAAACGCATTGGCATATAAAAGATTTTTATGATTCAAGTCCCTTTTAAAATATTTCCGATCATTTTACACTAGATATAACATAATTGAGTTTTGTCAATCAAAATTTTTCATATGAACTTTGAATTAATTTTCAAAAATTCACCCTTAAATGAGTCTTTGTATTTGGCACTAACTGAACTAATACATTTTTTTTTTTATAAATGATTCTAAATGCATATTGAAATGCTACAAAACTAGTTTCTTGTTTTTAAACTAAGCTTAGCTAAATAAACTCCAAAGACAACCAAATGGAACGAAGCCAAATTTTGAAGTCAACAAATATCAGTTTATAAGTTTATAAGTCAAATCCAACTTTACTAATAGGTCTAACCACGAGTGGTTCACTTAGGAACGATCTCGATGTAAAAAAAACTATTCTTCCTGAACTTCAGAAATGAAGAGCAAATGTTTCCAAAATCTGAACAAATCAGACAATGATAAAAACAATGATAGTAGTGATAACCGATCACGTCCTTCAAAAGAAGTATAAGATGTGAATAGAGCTTCCGACAACTAACGAATGCTAATTACATATGTACGGAAGAGACAGAAACATAACCTTGGAGACATAAATGCTCTGCTCTTTTACAATAAAAGAGAAGAATTTTTTACAAAGAATTGTTCCAGATATATAAGAGTGAACACAACGATCTGGAAAATATGACCTGCGATATGGATGCAGCTAAACTGAAAGAAATCCTTCGGTAATTTTGCATAGATCCGATACAATAGTTCATCAGTAGATATTTCATCAATGGATAGTTCATAAATGGACGCACAGTCACGAACAGCTAATGTTTGAGCATTACAAATGCAATAGCAGTAACAATAAATAAGTTGTGACTTTCGAAGGCACTGTATATTATGGAGAGTTAACAGTAGTGAACACTTTATATGACAAGCAACGTTCATAGAACATTACACAAAATAATTTTTCATGAGATAAAACAAGATAGATTTCATAGGTTGCTAATTATACCAACCTAACTTATCTCAATGAAATAACAACATAATAGGATCTAATTAAGTATAAATACTAATTTAATAGCTTCTTTTATATTTAAATTTAGATTTTGATTTGAACAGATGGACTTGATTTTCGGAAAACTGTGGACCCGTATAAAAGACAAGAGTCCTTGCTACGTTAACAGGGATGTCTGTTTAGAAGAGGCTCCATATAATAACGATTTCAATGTATTTATATTTTAGTATACTAGCACACAATTTTTACTAGCACACAATATATACTATGATCACGATATTCTACACCATTGAGAACTAAAATCAGCCTACTTTTCTAAAAATAACTTACTATATGTACTGCTACTGACAAGAATACATATTTCTCAACTAAAATGTAATTGAACACTTCAGAGAAGTGTAAACGCTTAATGGCATAAAATTAAAATTTAGTGAAATTTTTACTTGAAAACTGCATCTACACTCGTAATATGTTTAATAATGAATTTTACATGTTTAATTGTCTGTTGTCAAATATGTTATTATTTCCTCTAATTAATTCTAGTTATACGAAGAACTTAAGAGAGGGTCTTTTAATATTTACTTATATTCATTATAAAAATTTTACTTATTTATAAACGCACATCAAAGCTTTAATATATCAATTAAATAGCAAAACTACATTAGTTTTTTTAAATATTAATTTTTCATAATTCATAATATTCATATATAACTATTATGTATATTTGCAAATATTAAAAATAAGCAAATTTTATATTTATTTAGTAATGTTGAACTATTTTTTTCTTGTTTTTAATTTATATATTATATTTTATGATTTTTAATTTTTACTTATTTTTACTCAAAGTATCTTTCAAAAGAGTTGTTCCCATACAACATTGTCGAAAAAGAAAAGAGCTTAGAAGTTAAGTGTTAAAAGAAATATATATGAAAAATTATATTATTAAGATTCAAAGATAAGAAATAAATTATTTTGAAATAAATTTTTAGTTTTAATTAATTTAATTAATAAATAATTGTTTATATTAGTCATTTTGCTTACTATCCATATTTATTTAATAATCTTTTGATTTGCAAGAAATTTTAAATTGTCATAGAATATGAATCCATTTCGCATTTGTAAAATTACTATTAGTTTTTACGAAAAGCTAGTATAACATACTAGTATATACCAATCTAATAGTTAATGTATAATTTTATTAAAAATTGTATATGTATTGTATGTAGCAACCACCTCTTATTCTAGAAGTAAAGCGTATTAAGTCATTACTTATATTTATAAGTAATGTGAAAACCTATATATATAGTTTAATATTGAACATCTCTGTCGTATTACAATGGACTCATCTGTTAGAACTAAAGTGTGCTTATGGTTTACGAGGCAGACATACATTATATTCTATCCATCTGTCTTAATAATTAATTATGAAAAACTCTTCGTTATCTTTCCGTAGTATATATTATATTTATATATATACTAATTGAATTCATAAACGATTATGAAATGCGTATTTAACACTACACCAAAGTGTACATTGTAGATATACAAATACTTATCACCCTTACATCGAAAAACCAGAGCTCTGTAGTAGGAACAAGTAAAAAATAAAGAAAGTTATAACGAATATATTATTTATTATATATACATATAATATACATAATATTTATGTTATAATATATTATATATAATTATTTTTTATAAAACATTCTCCAGAGTATAAACCCATTATCAATCAATCAAATTCGATAATATGTTTACAGACAACATTTCGTTTTTGAATTGCTTTATAATCGTGTATATCGTGTAATATAAATAATTCTTTTTTTAAATAAATGATATCTGACCGAATAATTT